CCGGTGCCGACTCCCCGGGCCGAGGCCTCGGCGGTGTCATTTGCACCCCACAAACACTATTCGGAGAGACGCCTTTGACACTAGCTCAACACCGCCTTGCCGCCGCATTACTCCATTTCTCGAAGTAAAAATGCGAAAGGATGTTGCCAGTAATTAGGGCGTTTACCTTTAGGCAGGCAACAGCGCATTACTAGAGATGAGAGCAGCATGGCGCGGTCTGATTGGCCGATCGCACTTGGCACCAGGGATTGGTTAAGGGCAATGTTTGGCCTCTACTGCGGCCGAATCCAGCCAAAGGCGTCAGCCTAGACGGTCTTACCGCATCAGCCCCTCATCACAAGACGTGGACCAGTGAATCTGCGGCGAGGCCAAACGTCAAGCTGAGTGAATCACGCCCCCGGCCAGCTGTTTGGTGTTTGATTTTATATTCGTGACACCCGAAAGCTTGCATTTTCGTTGTCTCTGCACTCTTTCCTCACAGCAACCCAGTCAAAACCAATAACTCTGGTGGCTTGAGGCGTACTCACGATGGTTGGTCCATCAGTCAACACGACGATGATATACCCTGCTGACATGCCTCAGGTCAAAAAGTGGTTGTTCGGAAGCCCTTCCAAGGGCAGTTCGCCTCCAGTCTCCCGTACCGACTCGATCAGATCGACGTTCTCGGCATGGACCACAACTAGCACCATGCAAGCAGACACAGAGGAACCCACCTCCTCTGATGACGTTGCCCTCTCGATCCATCCCCTGCCCACCAACGATGGTCTTATCGCCAAGATAACTCCCCCGGAAGCACCTGCTAAGCCAATCGATCATGTGCCTTGTGACATCGTGCTGGTCATCGATGTATCGGGAAGCATGGGCTGTAATGCCCCCGTCCCCGCTAACCCGGGAGAAAAGACCGAGAACTACGGACTGTCGGTCCTGGACTTGGTCAAGCATGCCGCTCGCACAATTCTGGAGACGATGGACGAGACCGACAGACTCGGCATCATTACCTTTGCCTCCAAAGCTAAGGTTGTTCAGAAACTGATGCCTATGAACAAGAAGAACAAGACACTGGCCGAAAAGAACATCAACGGCATGAGGCCAATCGATGCTACTAACCTCTGGCATGGACTGCTTGAGGGTATCAAGTTGTTCAAGGAGGGTGGCGAGGTGAACACTGGCAGGGTTCCTGCCATCATGGTATTGACGGACGGCATGCCCAATCATATGTGCCCGGTGCAAGGATACGTTCCGAAGCTGCGTGGCATGGAGCAGCTACCTGCCTCAGTTCATACGTTCGGCTTCGGATACTCTCTGAGGTCTGGTTTGTTGAAGTCCATCGCCGAGATTGGCGGTGGCAACTACTCCTTCATTCCGGATGCCGGCATGATTGTAAGCCAATATGCTTCCCACTCTTGCCCTCTGTCGCGCTAACAAATGCCAGGGAACTGTTTTCGTTCACGCAGTCGCCAACCTCCAGGCAACATATGCTATCAACGCAACCTTTCGGCTCACTTTCCCAGCAGTTATCGACCTCGAGGAAACAACGGGAGACTCGGTCGACAAGCAAGAAGTCCTCACCCTGCCCGACGAAAAAGACGAGCCAAAGCAGCTTTCCATCTCTCTCGGAAACCTGCAATTCGGCCAGTCTCGAGACATCTATCTGCGCATCAAGACTCCAGAAGACTCTATTCTCGAAAAGTCCAGCGTCATCGCTTCACTTGAATACTCCCGCATGACAAGTGCTCTCTACAGAAAGACGACTGAACAATCTCTCTCAAATCCCACCACTCTACCAGAGTCCGAGATCGCATATCATCTTTCCCGCTCTCAGATTTGTTCCTACCTGTCATCGATCATACCCCTGAGAGAAGACGGCGAGCACGAGGCGCTGGGCGATATTTCCCCACAGAAAATTGAAACACTCGAGGCTCTCATCAAAGACCTCCCAGCACAAAAGTTCCCCAATGACCCGAAAAACAAGTCTTTGATTGAAGATCTGTCAGGCGACCAACCAAAAGGCCAGATTTCCCTCGCTCTCAAGAACCCAGAATACTACACGAAATGGGGTGTGCACTATTTGCCCTCTCTTTTAAACGCCCACACCAGGCAGATTTGCAATACCTTCAAGGATCCCGGTCCGCTTCAGTACGGCGTCGACAGTCCTCTTTTCACCGCATGCAGGGATAGACTCGACAGCGCGTTTGATAACTTGCCCGCGCCAACGCCATCAAATCATATGGTTGCAACCCACCGAGGCCGCATCAAGATGAGTTCCTATAATACTTCTTCTGGAGTATGTTTCATCGCCTCCACTCCAGTTGTCCTAGCCTCGGGCCGAAAGGTTCCCATCAAGACTCTCCGAAGAGGTGTGGCGGTACAGACACCCTCTGGTCCTAGACGTGTCGTGGCCGTGCTCAAGACGCCTGTCTACCGGGAAATCATGTGTCGTGTCGGCGATCTCGTTGTTACGCCATGGCATCCTGTTTCCATGGACTGCGGGAAGAGCTGGGTTTTCCCTGCTAATGTGGCGCTGAGACCTGTGAGGTACACTGGATGTATCTACTCAGTTCTCCTACAACCAGATCGGGATGCAAGTACGCATGCCGTGAATGTTGCGGGCATTTGGGGTGTTACTTTGGGTCACGGGCTGGTGACGGGACGGGACGTGCGTGCTCATCAGTTCTTTGGAGACTACAGCAAGGTTGTGAGGAGTTTGAGAAGGATAGGTGTTAAAAGGAGTGGTGTCGCTACTGGAGGAGGAGTGCGTAGGGATCTGAGGAATGGACTGGTTCGTGGGTTTAAGCCAGCAAGAAGGGTCGTGGTACGGAAGGATGGCAAGGTTATGAGCAAGTAAGCTGTACGCGCTGCGTTAATGGCTTGCTTTAGTAATGATGCCGGATGAAGTCGTTGACTGTTTTGGTATGTACAATCAGTGTTCGCCATTTATCAGTCGGCATGGCACAACGTTGTAGCAAGCGATGCACCCTGGGCCAGCTTTGCCTTTTCTAGTGATCAGGCATCATAAGCGTCACCCCCACTCGTTGATTCACTACTGCAAATCTTCATCCCCTTGGGCGGGGAGTAAATTGCAGTGAACCACACTACGCATGCGAGAACTTTTCGAAAATATGCAAGAGAAATCGCGAAAAGATCCTATTGGTCTGTTGGTTTCTCTACCACCAGTCAGGACTTGGAGCATCAAAACATGCATCCTCCTCTCCCGCAGCCACCAGTTACCCAATCCCAAGCCTCTAGTGACCTGATTCGTCTTGAGTTCCAGACACTTATCACTGAATCAGCCAAGGGAGTCTCAGGTTCCGTCGGACTGGTTCATTTGATGGTTGCGTTTGACCCACGCTGGCAACCTTGCGCTCTTTCATTTGCGCACCTCTCCAAGGGGAACATTCATCCCATGCCTTCCCTTATAAGGCGAAACCTCGGCTGGCTTCCATCCGCCACGCTGCAACAGACTCTCATCCTCAAGCTTGAAAACTTCAACTTTGAGCGGCCTGCAGCACTTGATCATTTCCTCCTCACTATCTTCACCGAAACCCCAAAGTGACAAATCACCTCCAGGGCATGTGCCTATTCAACATGTGTCAGTTCAGTTGGCATTATTAGTGTCCAGAAGGAGTTACCCACTCAAAGCCATGAGAACGTCCTGCTCTGCCAGAAACTCAATGTAGTCCCCAGGCCCCGCCGGGCACGGGTTCATGAAATAACGTCCCTGCTCATCCAAGCCTGTTGACTGGAAAATGTTGATAACATCGTGAACATCGCTCTCGTTCAATCCGTGAGGGATCACAGCGCGAGTGAGGTTCGAATGGCACTGGAAATCGTAGCTTCCTCCGCTAAGGATGCTGTTGATGTACGGATCACATCGTGTGCCGAGCAAGTCGTGAACGCGTCCGCCGTGCTCATCTTTGCCGTACCACGCCAGTGAGTCCGCGATGATGGTCACCAAGGGACGAATGTACGGCAGGTTTGACCACAGACGGTCGCCAACCGAGACGTGACTTGCGTGCAGCTGGCGAGTACGAGAGGCCCAGAACCGCTCGCGGGGGTTATGAGCGTTCCAAATGTTCAGGTCGCATGCGTTATGTCAGCTTGGACTTCGACTGGGTAGTATTGCTCGACTAGTCGACACCAGTCGCACTCGGTGCTCAGGGATCGGGCATTCGCCCAAACTTACCAACTTGAGGTCCCTCAGGTGTGCTAATCCTCACAATCGAACCAGCGGGCGCTTTCCACGCCTTACCAGAACGAATAGGCAAGGTAAACTCCTCCAACAAAACTCTAGAAGCCTTCTGCGCCGACTCGTAAAGCACCTTGTCCACGGTAAGTGGTGATCCGGCCGTGGCGAGATAAGCCGGGACGGGCTTCGGGATCGGCTTGCGATCCTTGAGCCGCTGGGCGGGGTCGATATCGGCAGCAGACATTTTCCAGACGAAACGTAAATAAAATGATGAAAGATTGGTTAAGGAATCAAGAAAATCATCCAGGAGGACCCCGACCTTAAGAACATGAACGGCGCGCGTCGTGATAAACCCCGCAGAGGCCCTTACGTAAAGGCCGAGATTCGTGATCCGAAGCCGCTAGCCCACCATCTCCACAGCATGACTCCGGTGTTTAGCGCACGGAAGGAGACTCCGATCAGTGTCGGAGTCTCTTGCCCAGGCGCTGGCGCACTAAGGTTCAGCGGTTCCCTGCAAGGTCATCTAAGCAAAAACACCAAGACCCAAGTCATCACAATGGCAACTATATAAATTTAAGCACACAGAGGCAAGCAAACAGTTGAAATAACAAGAGCATGCGAAAATAGCATTACGCACATTCCTTTATTACACACCAATGCATCAACTACCAGACTTACACGCGCGTAAGTAAGGTCGTTGAAACGTAAAAGTAAAAAGTCCAAAAAAAAAAAAAAAAAAAAAAAAAAAAAAAAACAAAAAAAAAAAAAAAAAAAAAAAAAAAAAGTCGGCCGATGGAGATACTCCAGGCTGTGATGCCTCGTGGGCGAATCGAACGCCCGATCTCCTCATTACTAGTGAGGCGCTATACCACTTAGCCAACAAGGCTTGCTTCGGACAGCAAGATGACATGCTAAGGACTCCAGGGGATGAGGCTGCTGCATGGATAGTGCGGTTGGCCACGAATAAGACCCATCCCCGATGAGCAACATCATGGCGAATCTCCAGGGAGGCCATGATAAGAAGCTGCCTGCTTGGAAATGGACATGTCTCTAAAAACTGCTATTAGTGTGCGGCTTCGCTGGTCTGGGCTGTTGAATTCGGCTTAATTCCGGCGACGTATCAGAGACTTGAGAGGGAACTGGCGCAATACTCTTTAAACCCCAGCTACCGTGTGAAAGAGAAATTGCCAATGGAACCGAGCCACTGAGCTGAAGTGACCCATCAACGCCGCTATGCCATCCTCCGGCGCCACTCTACTCGATATCTCTCACCATCCAGATAGATCCCTTCTCGGCAGTCGGCCAGACCCGGAACCCGATCTTCTCATAAAATTTGACAACCTTCTCATTCTCTCCACTAACACCAATGTGCCATCCCTTGCCGTACAACCTCTCGTCTCCACCCTTGGCCTTATCAGCCTCTCTCAGACTTTCTTCAAACTTGCCAATCAGCTTCCTCCCCCATCCCTTGCCTTGGTAGTCCTCAAGCAGGTCGATGTGCATCGTGCCCTTCCACTCTCCCCACAGGTCCTTCCTCTCATCGTCCAGCACAAGCCACGTCGGGTTCCAAGCCTGCTGTAGCAGAGCCTCCTCGTTCACCTCTCCCGAAGGCAGATTCCATGGCGCCTTGGTCTCAAGGCTCTGGGGCCGTCTGCCGGCCAACTCCAGTGACGTCTCGAGCACTTCCTTGACGTAGCGATCATAGGCGGCCGCGAAGTCGTTGACGTTGGGGCATCCGATGCAGTACCCCACCACGCGACCGGTGCCGTCGTCGAGGACGTGGCAGGTCGAGGGCGAGAGGAGCGTGTACTGGTGCGTCCAGAGGAACGGCGCCATCCGAGTGCCTACCTCGGACTTGTCCAGGGAAGGAGGCAGGGTTGCGCGGCACTGAGAGCAAGGTTAGCAGGGCTCGCGGATGTGGGATGGCGGGTGCGTACGATGTGTGCCGTGTCCTCGAAATCGGAAAGTTTGTAGTTGCGGATGAAGGCCATGGCGACGGAATCGTTTGTGGGCGTGCGTTGAAAAGAGGACTCGACGTTATCGTTGGGCCTCAGAGCGCTTTAGCCAGCAGGCGTGATACGTCGCGGCAGCGAGCGGGGTTCTCTCTGACGATGGTGAGTACGTAATGTCAACTCGAAACGAATTGATGCTACTATTTCAGCCAGATGTGAGAGATAGTCGTGATGTTCGACTGGATTCGGTAGAAGGGCAGGAGGACTCGCTATCATTTGATGCTTACGGAAGGTTCGACGCCCGGTCATGGGGCCGTTTTAAGTAGCGCCTGGCCGGCATTCCGGCCCGATGCGGATTCCCCCGCATCGCACTGCAGAGTTGCGCTGAAGACTGCCGCTTTTCATCTCATCTCACCCAAGGCCACCACGCAGCTATCATGCCTGAAAGGATTTGAAATTTCAGTAATACTCTGTGGTCAGATAACAGAACCACATCCACTACACTGGCACCAGCCACGTCGCTTGCTTGCTCGCTCGCTCCAGATCCAACAACATCTCCAACTACTACTTGGGAACACAAACACATGACGCCGCGTTGTTCCCGGTACACGCGCTGCCTCCTCGTTTCTGGAAGTTCAAGCGTCAGTATGGCGGCTCATGAAGTCTGTTCATCCTCAATTCAACTGCCAGCGACGGGTTGAACTCGCCTTGCCCTGCTTTCCACAAAGGTCGTTGCAAATGGCGACAGAATCTCAACCCTCTCGCGGTGTTTCCGGAAGTGCGCTCGCAACGCAGGCAAACGTGACGAAGAGCATTGAGAGCGAGAGGACCTTCATATTTGCGGCTCGCGGAATGTTACTCGAGAAATAGGATTGGGTAAGTCTGTTTAAAGGCAGGAGATACTTCTTGTGGCTGTGGTATCAATCAACTTCTCGCAACTTGGAGAGATGCTGACAGGCGCGTCTTTATACAACTGAAAAGTCCCACCGGGCCCTTTTCCAACGAGCAAGTTATCTGTGTATCTGTTGAGACCTATATCGCGAATGCCATACCGAATAGCCTTTGAACCTCCTGGTCCCAAGTTTCAGACGACATCACCCGAGTCATATCCACCACCTGGCAAAAGCGGACGATCTTGTCACATCCGGGGGTTATTTTCCCCGCGTATCCGCCTGAGACATGATAAAGTTCGTCCAAACATGCAAGAAGCTTTTCTTCTCGCGCTCGTCAGGCCAGACTGTCGGGTTACTCCCGCTGAACTCCCTCTGTTCGATATGCCACGCAACCCGCCTCTCGCGCTATGATATAAGAAAGGCCACCCTGTTTGAAGATGTCTCCGTGAATGTGTCATGTTTCACCGCGCAGCGAGGCCTCTCTCTCCATACTTCGTTTCCTGAAACTCGATCATGGACACGGAGATTTCGGAAAATATCTTGTCCTGGAAATGCAATCCCGAGATTGGAGGCCATGGAAGATTCAAGGACGGCGCCCTGATTCAACCGCGGATTTTTGACCTGCGGCATTCATCTCGAGTCTTGATCCTGTCTTACGGCGATTTCATGGCTTGCCCAAGTCCGAAAGGGCATGTTGGTAGCAAGCTTAATGTCGGACTGAAAACAAGCTGGGTAAAGCTGGACCTGACGACAGCTCTGGTTAACTAGACCAGCTGAGACGTTGCCATCCGCGGCATCACAGAGATCATGGCCATCCTCACATCATAGTTGTCATTCATACACTGAGTGATTCCCTATCTATCAAGGCCCCATGCTTCTCTTTGCAACAACCCGACCTGTGTTCTACTTTCCCTCTTTCTTCTTCCCCTAACACTTTTGCCACAGGGACCTACTGCTACACTGCTTCTTTATTTCTCAGCTATATGCTACTTCAGACTCACTTACATCCAGGCGTCCGTCTGATCAATCTATACACTCAGGGAACCCACACACAACAATCAAACCCCGTTTTTCATCCCAGCCAGATCGAACGCACGCTTCGCGATGCTCCGTAGGAGTCTCCGTCGTCATACGCCCCCAACAAGTGGGTCACTGCCCACCAACCCAAGCCCTGATGGTCTAGCGGTATGATTCTCCCTTAGGGCTGTCTTCACGACACCTCAGATCTGGGAGAGGTCCCAGGTTCGATCCCTGGTTAGGGCCCGACTGTGTTGCAGATTGCACCAAATCACAGCAATGTTTCATTTTTTGTTCGCGTTTTCTTGCGCCTACCTACTTTGCTTTGTTTGTCAGATTCATTCGTACGTGAGCTAGCAATCTGGAATGCATTAAACAGCGGCTTGTAGTGGAGTGCAGAACGGCCTTTACTTAGTGCCTCACTGCGATTTTAACCTATCTAGAGGGGACAGGCATTGCGACGGGGTTGCGTGGGGTTTATCACTATCGTCGAGACCACGCCTCCGCTGAGGACTTGAGGAAGTTGTGCATGCGACAAGGTTTGTCTGGCCTTGCTCGAGGAAGAGAGTGCGTGTCAGTACCAATCAATCATCATCAATATGGCCACGAGAGATATGTCGGCGATCCATCCGGAGCATCAAGGGCCGACGAGGTTGTGGGCTGACACTAACACAAGAAACAAACACTACACTTGTCAAATACGAATGTTCACAGAAAGAAACGATTTGAAGCCCGAATGATTTGATTCTTCCCACGGTACGCTACCTGGTACGTGGTATATCGGCCCAGCGTAAACCCCATCCTTAATACAGTATAGAAACACTCTGGTATTCTCCAAATTGAAACCACCATGCACCCATCTTCCAGAATATTGAGATCCTGCACGCGGCAGACGCCAGGCCCACCTCCGAGACGCACTCCATTTACCGCGAAACCCAGGACCCCGCCTAATTAAGATCTCTCCAGGAGTCAAGATCCAATAAGTCGCTCACCCACACGAGGGCGGCGAGTGAGAAGGAGTGTAAGAATAAGAAATATACAATAGAGACCACACCATTGTGCGGTGATCATGTAGTGGGAAATAGAAAGTAAAACAACAGTAAAACAACAGTAAAACAACAGTATAGAGAGGGTTTTCATAGATTCGTCATGACCATTTTCTCTCCCGTCCCCTTTTCCAGCTATCCGTGCGATAAGGGGAGTAGATTAGAATCGAAATAGAAATATTGTAACCAACTGAAATGTCTTAGATCATGCCGCCCGGCATGGAGCTGTTGTTAACGCCGCCGGGGATAGCCGTTGGAGGACTGTTGCCCCGGTTCATGCGAGCACGCATGTTCATGCCGTTGGCCTCGCTGATCGTCTTGCGTAGTCGGCGTCGCTGGCCCCCTTGGGCATCCTCATCGTCGCTGATGGAGAAGGCGCTGTTGCCGTCACCATTGGGGTCGCTAGCCATTGGTGGCGGCGGCGCCAGAGGGAGATGAGGAGAGCTAGCGCCCATATCCTCCTCGCCTCTGCGGCCAATGATGGAGCCAATCATGTTCCGCCGCTTGGGGTTGATCGGAGGCACTGGTGGAGGGTTGATGTTGGCATGAGCATGAAGATTGGGCGTGGATGCAGCGGCACCCAAGATGCTTCCCGACCGCGATCGAGAACCGCTCCTCGAGCGGGACTCTGATGTCTCAGGAAGAGCAACAGTAGGGACCCGGGAAGTAGACGATACAAAAGTGGGCTCAGAGATGTCCTTCTTCTTGACAACTCGCTTCATCGACTCATCAAGGCGGGTGACGGGAGCATTCTCCACCGCAGGAGACGGAAGCGGAGGAGCAGACGGCCGGCGAGGCGGGGGGCTGAAGGTAGGCGTGGACTGACTAACAGGAATCTGAGGCGAAGGCATGGGTGCCATCGGAGACACCGGGGATGGTTGGCCGGAGTCGGGTCCTCTGCGACGATACTGAACAGCGAGATTACCCTGGGATGCAGATCGATCAAGGGCCTTTGGGGCAGCAGCAGCTCCAGGGTAT